ATAAAGTGAGTTACTGCCAGCGTTGTTAACTAAGCTGCAAATAGGAGCCCTTAATTAAGAATTGTAATTAGTCCTACCGTCACTGTAGCTTGGCGTGTGTAGCATTACTCCTCTAATATGGGCCAGATGTAAATTTCAGTTGCTATGCAACGGGAGTTACTTTTGCAGCAGGTGCATCGTTACCAGTGAAACGCAGAAAATCACAAAGATCGTGTATAGAATATTCTTCTCTATGAACTCCAAAGTGGTACACACTTTTCTAGAGTTAGGCCCCATCCTAAAGGGCAGGAACTGAACCCGTCCCTTATTTTAAGGCGTATTTTTAAGAGCCCGGTATGGCTTCGGTCTGGAGGAGCGAGGAAATGGGTTTAGGGCCAAAAGATTGCTCCATAGCGTTCCGGATGGGTACAGGTGGCTCCTCCAGGCCGGGGCGTGAAGCTGACCACTCACCTGCACCTAGTGTTGATGTTAAAAATGGTGGAGCTATACCTTCACTCCCTTATACGTTTTCATGATTAATTAAGTACAAGGACAATTTTTATCTCAGAAGATAAATTGTATCGATTACCTGGTGAACTTTAAATGGAACTTGATGACTCAGCCGATATAGCAACGGTCTAAATGCCGGACGGCAAGGGTTCAATTCCTAGCAGCGGAAAGAAATTTGTCTGTGTTCCACAGTGTTCAGACCGACTCCGGGGCCCACCCAGCCTCGTATCCGATGGATACGGTGGTAAAACGGTCGTGGCGTGAAGCTAGCCGCTCACCTCCGTCTAACGCCAAGGCCAAGAATTGTGGAACTGTACCTCCACGCCCCCATATTTGTTCGTGGCATAGTGGTTAATTAAGCACAGAGGTGACTGCTTGATGTATGCGCAGAATTGTAGCCGATATGCGTACGTCGGTGTTCTGATTGAGCCGCAGATGGGCGTCTGTCCACAACGAAGCTGAAGGGACAGATGTTGCTGCTGTGTTCACGGCACTCCCGTTGCTTCGACCCCACGCATTACACTCTCTTCACGCCAACCTATCCAGGAGAACATTGGAAAGGCTCAAGTTCAAATCCCCTTCAACTGCCCGCCTTTCTCATATGTAGGTAGGGTAGGTCATAATCGGCAGTAATCAGAAGTCGGGATGGGTTGTGTTTGTAGATGGAATTGAGTTGTTTCCGCCAAGGTAGGACCAAGATTTAATTAAATGTGTATGCCGGGCGCCAGCAGCTGTTTCTGGGTGGAAATAAACTGCGAATTCAGAGGGATTCTTCCTTCTTAACAGACGTGGTTTGAGCTGACCTATATCAGGAAGATAGGGACTCGTCTAGGGTCGTGTTGACAGGCCGTGACTCTGGCGGCCACGAGTCCCTCGACGCCGCTAAACTTAAGGTAAAGGTAAAGCTATCCCTGTAACTGGCCGTGAAGGCCCATAGGGTTGAGAGACATTGAGGCTCCCACATTTTTTCTAAGACAGTCGGCTCACAGATGGCGGTGAGGTTGTCAACCTTACGCGCCGGCCGCCCTTTACCCCTCAGGAAGATTCCTGGTACTCATTAGAGGCTGAGTCGACCCCAGGGCCATAGTGCTGCTGGAAGGATTAGGTAAATTGAAAAAAAATCCACCTAATCGGTACTCGAACCCGCGACCTTCCAGCTTGTAGCATAGTGCGCCAACCAACTACGCTACCGCGTGTACCCGAACAATACACTTACGGACAACAAATGTTGAAATACGCTGATGAAGAATTATTAACGCTGTCGAAAGTAGTGAGTAACACCTCCATTGGTTTCTGTATCGGTTTGACGCTGTTTTAATACAAGCCACAGAAACCAGCAGCCCGTAGCCATTATCGAATCAGGACTGAGATGTGAAGTGGCTTCAGCTATATCGTCATCACCAGATTCCCTTTGATCGCAGTTCACGAAGAAGGGGAGGAGCGGAAGAAACAGAGGAGAGAGGAAATATTAAAATGGCTCTTGAGTCCCGTAACGGGCGCCCCTTTCATTGCTCACGTAAACTTAACACAAAGTTTGAAGGAAGTTTTTATAAGTTCCCACCTTAGTAACCAAGTCAAGGAGGATGAGGTGGGCAGGGCATATAGCACGAATGGTGGAAAGAGGAATGCATGTAAGATATTTGTGGGAAAGCCAGAAGGAAAGAGACCAGTGGGAAGACCAAGGCGTAGGTGGGTGGACAATATTAAAATGGACCTTACAGAGATGGGATGAGATGGATTGGATTGATCTGGCTCAGGATAGGGACCAGTGGAGGGCTCTTGCGAACACGGTAATGCACCTTCGGGTTCCATAAAATGCTGGGAAATTCTTGAGTAGCTGCAGATTTGGCGACTCCCCAACTAGGGATCGGCTCCATAAGTAATTTCCTACCTTAGTAACCTTTTGGAAAGAAGTCGCTGTTGAAGTAACAAGATTAGCAATGAACCTGGAACTTAGTTTGGGATAGAATTGTCGGGCAGTTCCAGGCGTCGATCTGTCTTTCATAGTTTTTCATGCAGCACCTTCACCGTCAGTCCTATATGCATTTAGACACTTCTGCATGCAGGAGGAGACTTATTGAAGAAATTAATGTGAAAATAAGGTTCTTATTAGTTACCTCGTTCACAGTTAGGGCCATTCCTGCAGTCCGTTTTGTAGACATGACAGCCGTGAAGCAAGTTCACGCGCTCCTTTGATCGGCCCGGCTTCACGGGACAATCGGCCCGATGTTTCACTTGAGCCCGCCTTCGCAAGAAGAGCCACTCTATAAGAATTTCTTTATTTCGTTCTCATTCATTCACTTATGGGGGGCACGCGGTAGCGTAGTTGATTGAGGCACTATGCTACAAGCCGGAAGGTCGCGGGTTCAATTCCCGATGAGGTCATTGGAATTTTTTCAATTGACCTAATCCTTCCAGCTGCACTAAGCCCTGGTGTCGACTTAGCCTCTAACAGAAATGAGTAACAGGAATTAAATAATTTTCCTGGGGAGTAAAAGCGCGGCCGGCGCGTAAGGCTGACAACCTTACCGCCATCTTTGAGCCGATTGTCTAGACAATGTGGGACCCTCATACGTCTCGCAACCCTATGGGCCTTCACCGCCTGGTACAGGGATAGCTTTACTTTACTTTTTTACTTTACTTCATTCATTTATTTGATGAGCCTGGATAGCTCAGTTCGTGTAACGACGGAGTACAGGCTGGACGGCCGGGGTTCGATTTTTCTTTACTAACGTTGGTAAGGAATAAAGGGGAATATAATGACCTTCAGCTGCAAGGAACCATTGGAGCCACCGTTGCTGAAAATCTCCCGTGAGATGTGCGGCCTTTTTTGTTGCATCTTTTCTGTCACTTTTTATGTCAACTTAAGTCACATCTTTGCGATTCATTGTTTTCGAACTACGATGGAATTCGATGTTATTTAATTTAGCAGTTGAAAATTTTGTTGAATAAATAAATAAATAAATAAATAAATGCATATATGAAAATCCCTCGTTGCTCACTTTTGCAAAATGATCTAGGTCCACTTTTATAGTTTTAGTGGTAAAGGTTTTCAACCTTATTGCATTTTGCTTCGCTTGCGGTATATCTCATATTTCACATTATGATTTTATAGAACTTGCAAACCAACAAAACTACTCACTGGACAACACGCCAACAGAAATTAAGTCTTTTGCCACTAAGACAGCAAAAGTGTATTATGGAAGTTGTAGCCGTCCGCCGACGTGCAGCTGCCACGATTGTCGCTCGAGCTTGAGTTCTTAATCACAGGATACGGGTGCTTGGGATATGGGAGTGGAACACACTTCGGGGTTCATGAATCCGGGGGCTCCAGAACACACCTTGGATTGCAGTTTTAATTTAAAGTTTCATTAATGATCAATATTTACATTATTCTCCAAGCTAGCCGCTCCGTCCGCCGACTCGCTACCACTACGGTAAAACACTTCTCTGTTCTGTCTATCTTTCAATAACTGTCCTCCTCCGTTCCCTATAACCGACTGCCCTCTTTTTACCAGTCCCCCAGTGGGCATAAAAAACAAGAAAATGAAAAGAGAAAGCCAAGGGTCGAGCCTGGCATCTGTCCTACATTCGTAGTAAGCCCTTAAACTTTTGTAGGTCTTCAAGGCACACGAGCAGGGAACCCAAGACCCTCCTGACCCGTCTCGCACAAGGTCAGTTCATGGGTTTACGACACCAGGAGCAACCAGGCGACGTTAGGTACAATAGTGACACCCCAAGCCTAAGGAGGACAATAGCTGAATTACAACTAGACGGGTCCTGGGATGGTATCTCGCCGGAGGAGCGTCTCTCATGGTGTTAAACAATGCATAAGTTCATACCGTTAAATAATTTTGGCGAGGGACGTACGGTTACAAAGTCTAACCTCCACACAGTCCCATGTACGCAACAAAAGCAATTGCCATGTTCACAACTCAACTTACGTATGAATATTTTGACGTACATAATTCAGTGAAGAAGACAAAGTTGTAAATGTCTTGACGGAGCAGTTAACTAAATTTGAAGAGTACGTCTTCTGAGATGTGACGCCAGCCTTAAAGTAAAAAAAAAAAAGTAAAGCCATCCCTGTAACAGGCCGTGAAGGCCCATAGGGTTGTGAGACGTTGAGGGTCCCACATTAACTAGACAATCGGCTCAAAGATGGCGGTAAGATTGTCAACCTTACGCGCCGGCCGCGCTTTACTCCCCAGGAAAAGTATTTAATTAATTCCAGGTACTCATTTCTGTTAAAGGCTGAGTCGACTCCAGGGCCATAGTGCGGCTGGAAGGGTTAGGTCAACTGAAAAAAAATCCAATGACCTCATCGGGACTTGAGTAGAAGTTTATCGAAAGTTTTCTCAAACGACATGACGTCTTTTCGCAGAACGAATTACTTTTCATAGTCACCGCCGCTAGAACTTCAGATACGACACAGTTTAATGTTTTTTTATTACTTATTAAGCTCTGAGTTTTTTAATAACTGTTAATTAAAAGCGGTATTTTGTTTGCAGGTTGGATCCACCGGTGACAAGTCCCCTAACCAGCCCTGTTATTACCATGGAAACCAAGAAGGTAAGTCAGCACCTTTCATTTTTAATAACATTCTATGTGGTCACAGTTAATGGTTACAGGTCCAGAGGTCCTGGGTTCGATTCTCGGCGCTACCAGATTTTCTGAGAAGTAGTGGGTCTGGATCGGGGTCCACTCATCCTCGTGAGGATAATTGAGGAGCTATTTCAAGGAAATAACAGCTCCGGTCTAGAAAACCGAAATTAACGGCCGTGGGGATTCGTTGCGCTGACCACGCGACACCCTCTGTCTCTCTATCTATGTGTATTAGTGACCTGTAGACTGGATTTGGATTAGTGAATCGATTTACTGGATACTGGATTTGTGGTGGACATAGTGGCGCTGGGGCAGGTTTTCTCCGAGTACTTCGTGTTAAGCCGCGGAGCAAGGGGGCGTGGAGGTACCCCTCCTTGCCTCCACAGCTTACTCTGTAAGGAGTCAATACCATAATCCTAGCTTACCCTTGGCTAGGATTCTCCGGTTTCGGGGCTCCCTTCTCTCACTTAAAGCTGCCACCATCTATTATATGTCCTAAGTGAGGTGATGTAAGTGCCAAGGGCCCGTAGCACGTAGTCGAGCGTTCTCTGTGGGCTGGCCCTTTCGGCGCAGTCACCTCTTATTATTGGCGTAGAGCGGGCGTGTCTGGTCTGACCCGCCTCTACCTATCGTCTGTTCTTTTCTATCGTGGGGACTACCCCCTGAGCATATAGTCATAGCTCTGTCTTGAC